AAAAAAAAAAACCGCTCCGGTTTCTTTCCACCCGCTGGGAGCTGGGGGTAGGGGCGCTTGGGGCCCGCCGGGCCGGGGCTTGTATCTTACCCCCTTTGCAAGGCGCTGGGTTCTTGCAGGTGTGGATGTGGTCTGGATATTGTCCTGTGTCCTCTGGTTTCTATTTTAGGAAGAGTTTTCTTTGTTATATTTTCATAGATCTATGTGTTTTTGGGAGGAGATTTCCACTGCTCTACTCATGCCACCATCCTTGCTTCGCCCCCCCTGGAGATTTTTATTATACAAATATTGCTATAGTCTGATTGTTTGTATCCCCCAAAATTAATACAGTAAAATAATAGCCCCCAAAGATTAAGAAGTGGGGCCTTTGGAATTAGTGTTTAAAGTTGCTTTATTGTTTCCAGACATAAAAAATTTTGTCTGGTGTATTTACCTATATAATAATAGAGGCATGGTTAACACAGTTAATAAGTTAAAAAAAAATTTATTTTTTTTTTTTTAAATTAAATTTTTTTTTTTTTTTTTGTTTTTTAAAATTTTTTTTTGGTTTAGTTGCTTTTTCCCCACACCTTATACAGCAACATTATCTTTTTTAATTTTTGAAAAATAGGTATAAGGTAATGTGGTAAATTAAAGAAGTAGAATTGTGAGATCAAATGACCACTTAGCTTTCTAGCCAATCAGCCTCTACAGCAAGGTTAAAAGTGTTACATTTAAATTCATGCAGGATCAATTCGTAAAACAACTTTAAAGGTTCTAGAAACTATGCTCTTTATATTAATTACTATTTTATTGCTTGGGCTAATTGTAACTTGTGGTTTTTGGTGGGGATTTGCCAGGAACTTTCCTCTGCAGGGAATTAATGAGCATGTAAAGGTTTTTCCCATTCTTTTTATTTTTAACTTTGTCATTTCATGTTTTATTTGTTTGTAATAGTGATGACCTATTTAGTAACAAGATCTTCCGTCTATAGACTCATTTTCTCACCTGCTTAGGATATTTTCTAGGCTGACTTCAGTAAATAAGAAACATTAAAAATTAGCATTTAGATTTTATTCTTCTCTTCAACAAAAGAGAAAAGATGAAGGCAGAACTTATAATTACATATCACATAATTATGAGTTAGATATTAATTACATTTTAATATTTTTAATAATGAAATATTTAAAATGTGAATTCATATATGTTGGAGTTCAAGCAATTGCTAAAATGGGAATTAGTAAAATATTCATTACTTGTTAAGAATCATTAATGAATTTTATATTCTGTAAAACTATGAAAATATAATTTGGATAATTTACTATAAACATTATCTATTTCCTCAGATTAAATTGGCATAAAAATGAATTAGAAAGGGTATCCATAGCTGCTATTTTTTAAATCCTCAAAGATAATCATTGATAATTGTAAGTCTGGAGCAAGGAAATCCTGGGGCAAAATACCTCTAAAAACCAAAATCATTCAAAGAGAGAAATAAAGTTTAAAACCCGTTTATTGCTCACAAACTGCAGTCCCAGGTCGTCTTTCTTCTCTGCTCCAGCAGCAACAACACCAGCACCCAACCTCACCTCTCAGGTACAGATAAGCACTCTGTTGCCCAGGTAATTACCCATTGATATGGAGATGAACTTCACCCCTGAGGAAAGATGAAAATGCACTCCACCCCAGAGGAAAGATGAAAATGCATGAAAGTCATACTTCTTTCCACCTCTTAATGCCTATTGATATGCAGATATACTAAAGCCAGGCGAGATATTCTGGAAATGCTACAATTTTACCCACAATCCACCCTTCCAGAAATCTCACCTTACAATTTACTTGATCCCCTCTTCCGACCAATCTAGTAACATGCAATAGCAACAGCAATAAAATCTTGATCATCCTCAAGTCAGAGGATTCAGCAGGGTGCCAGCAGGGCATGGTACACAGGTTCCTTCACAGCACAATCTCTCACTAAGCACAAAAATACATTTCTACACTTGTTTACTCATTCCTAACAATCATGCTAGATTGCTCACAAAACTTTTACCAAACATTAAAGTCAAGCCTCTCTTTAAACATTATTTTCTTGACAACAGCAACAATCATAATTCTCAAGCCAGAGGATTCAGCTAGGTTCAAAGTCCCATGCAGATTAAGTCCAAAGCTTTTCCATTCCAGCCATCATGCAGCAGCTGCAGCCATGGGGTGCATCCAGGACACAAAGACCGTAGAAGCAAATAACCATGATTGTCGGGGGCCAATTTGCTGTTATTACAGGAATACACAGAAGGCCAGCTTCCAGGCCTTTTCCCCAAGGTTCCAGAAGAGCCAGCCTTCACCAATCCATGTGTTGAAATGTCCAGCGCCACATCCATTTTATGCCTAATTGCTGCACCCATCCTTGCAACACATGTCCAATTAAGTGGGTACCTTGATCGCTCTCAGTAACCGGCGACCAACCATAGGCTGCAGAGAGATGCTCTGGGCCCCTCTTGGTGGTTTGCTGACCTGCACAATGTGCAGGGCACTCCTTCTGGGCTCGGCTGACTTATTCAAAGGTGAAAGACAAGCCACATCGATGGGCCCACATTGTCTTTTGAGGTGTCTGTACCATGCCACTCCATGGCTTTTGGGTCCAATCTCATACCCACCCCATGATGGGATAGGAGGTTATTACCTTGGTCAGAACTGTCCCAGTGATGGGCTCTGTAGCCAGTAGGGCATGGTACACAGCAGCCAGTTGCTTCAAGATGACCCAGACCTCTGCTCCTTTCCATGGTTGTAGCCAGGCTCCGGCTGGCAGCAAGAGCGGCAGCAATGGCAGAAGCAGTAGCCTTAGGCTCGGGTCATGGGCTGGGGTCAGCGTGGCCAGTAGCGGTGGTGGTGCCTCCACGACCACACGAGTGTAGACACATGTCCCTCGGCGTGAGCACCACTTCGCCCCATCATTTCTAAGGGTGGCCCTCCCAAAGGTCACACCCATTATGACAGATTTCGGGTTCAGAGGAATCCTGCTGACTATGCCAGTTGTAAGTCCAGGGAAAGGAAATCCCAGGGCAAAATACCCCTAAAAACCAAAATCAGTCAAAGGGATAAATAAAGTTTAAAACCCATTTATTGCTCACAAACTGCTGTCTCAGTCCATGTTTCTTCTCTGCTCCAGCAGCCACAACACACCTGCCCTCCCCCCCCACCTCTCAGGTACAGAGAAGCCCACTGTTGCCCAGGTAATCACCCATTGATATGGAGATGAACTTCTCCACCCCTGAAGAAAGATGCAAATGAACTCAAGCCATACTTCTTTCCACCTCTTAATGCCTATTGATATGCAGATATACTAAAGCCAGGGGAGATATTCTGGAAATGCTACAATTTTACCCACAATAATATAAGTATGTTTAAAATTCTAATGTGCTGAAATACATTATTTGAATTAGTTCATGTATACTAGCTGAATTAATATGACTTGGAATGAAACCAGAAACAAATAAATAGTAAAATCTCTTTTAATATTGCATGAACATTGAAATCAAGCATTTCTATATTCCCATCCTTTAGTTATTATCAGTAAGTAAAACAATAAAAATGATTATTTAGCACTCTAGTTTTATATACTGTTTATATATATATATATATGTATATCCTTATTCTTTCCTGGTCTCACAATTAAAACTATAACATATTAATTGTACATTAAAATATTTTAATGTAAGTTTATTATAACAATCCACTAATTAAAAAATATTCATTGGGAATTAGTTACTTACAATGAAAAATAAATCAGGTTTCCTTAATATTTAAAATGCAATTAGAATTCTACCCAAAAAGTTTTTTCTAAAAGACTATTGAACAAAACATAGTAAAACTCAAAGAGGTAAGACTCATTACTTTCTCTTTCATAGATATTTTACTCTCCAAATAGCCTGACTGAACATTGATTGAAAGGAACATATAAGCCAACTCATATTCATATTCATATTCTCTTTCTCCGTTTCTTTCTCTCTTTCTGTCTTTCTGGCCACACAGCTAATTAGAAGCTGCCTTGAACAAAACATTTCGCTTTAAAGTAAATGATTATATACAATAAAACAAACATTACTCAGTTTTCTTAGTGTTTACATGAAACAAATTAAAACTTCACATATTACATCATTTTGAATTTCATTATCCATCACTTAAATTAAAACTTGGAATCCATACTTGAAATACAGTGAGTCAGAGACAAGTAGCATTCTATTCTTGGGCTCCATTAATCCTATGAGGCTAAACCAAAAAAAATATTACTGATACCTTTTGCTTTATTTCTCCTCTATATTTGGAAATAATAAGGGATCATTCTGATTCCTTCCCCTCTTACCCCCAGTCCTGTATAGAAATTGTTTGCTTTTATCTGCAGAATAGGCCACTTGAGTTACTTTAATATTTCACATTATTTTAATAAAAATTTTAATCATAGATATTTTGAATAGTAAATGTAGTTCACCATGAATTCTTATTTTTATAAATGTGTTAGAAACTTTGACAAGTTTTTGAGACATTATTTTGTTAAAATATAAATGGCTTCATGGTTACAACGGTTTAAATGATTTAGAGACAATAAAAAAATCTATTTATTGACATTCTGCTTAAGAAAAATCTTAATGGTAATGACTGAATGTTAGATTTTTTGTTAAATTGAAGTTCATAACATTATATTATAAACTGTGGTAACTGATATACATATATTATTTTTCTAGCATCTTATCTAAAGAAGACTAGAAGGACAAAGACAACATTACAAAAAGGTGACTATTAATTTTTGTGCTAATTACTAGAATTTTTGTAAGACACTTAATGCAACTCTTAGGTTTTCAGATATAGGGTTCTTCATAAATCCATGTAATCTTTGAAATAGTGTTTTTATTCCCAGTGAATATAATGAAAAATTAGAAATAGATGATATTTAGTAGGGAAGTCTTCAGACACTACTCTTGTTCTAATGCAGCATGATATTTAGTGTTAGATCAGTCACAATTCAGGGCCATGTACATACTATTTTAGCATCTCCCAAATAGTGAATTAGATGTTACTAGTCTTAGTTCTCAGAGCTCTAATCCCTTGATAATGTCAGCATTGTTTGTCTTTAGCAAGTTTAATCCAATACTTCCCTAAATGGATAGATGACTTTGAGTTGTCAACACTCTGTATGAAAAGGTAGAGATATTTAACAATATATAATGCTTTTGTCAATATTATTATCATGTGTGTGCATATATTTATTTTGTGATTTAAATTTAGCTTTAACTAAAAATAATTAGTTTCTAGTGAAAATATTGTATCATCACAAGAAAAAGTATTTTCAACTGATCAAATAAGTCATGCTTTTTTAAATAAAGGTCTAGAAATTGACTGGGTCAATTACCATTTATGGCATTTACATTTGAATGAGAAAATATTGAACAAAGAGATTAAATTATTTAACTCAGTACATGAAAGAGCTACAAAGCTACAAGTGTATTTTAATTTTACTGAATGATTTAATTGCATGGAAGGAGCTGAAAACTTCTGTGACTCACTGATAACTTGACTTAATTTATTGTCTGGATTTTCAATCAAAATTTATGAAACAAATTCATCAGCAAAATATGTAAAACAACATAAGTAAATGTATTATTCACACATTTTAAAATAGGTTCCTAATAATCAGGAATTAATCCTACAAAAATCCTCAATACTTCAATTAAATGAAACATTTATTATCTATAATATCAAAGAATTAGCATATTTATAAACAGGTATTTTGTTCCATCAAGTAAAAGATGACAGCTTCATGAAAGAAAATACCAGCTTTTAAATATCAGTTAATTTTTGTCAAAAATGTAGAATTAGGAAAAAATTATATGCAGGTAAAATTTGCTATAAAATTATGCTAATGTGTATTTAATGATTCAGAATTCAGTCATTCTTAATATACATGATATTTAGAGGACAAAGCTATCAATACCATTCACATATGTTGAAAAATGTTCAGATGCTAACACCAATCCATAAGACCTTTAAGTATAGCCATTTGAAGTTAACTTTGTGATATGCTTCCTGGCATCAGCACCAGAACAATTCTGAAGACAATGTAACAACCTCTTCTAAACAAAGTTTATTTTGAGATAATTGCCAAGTATTCAGATTCAAACAAAATCAGGTGACTTTTGGAAGTTAGTGCATAGTTTAAGTCTGTATTTTGTGCTTGACCTAAGCATCAATTTAGAGCAAGGATTGTGTATGCAGATTTGATATGAATGCTACTTTATCTGAGGACTAGGAAGCAATAATTTCTTGATTTGTAAATGTATTTTAACTGCATGCCCAAGCAGAATTATTTTACAAATGTGCAACTTCCACCTTGTCCTAAAATACATTTATATCCTAGAATAGGGCCTCATATAAATAACAGCAATTCTGGTTGCATATATATATATATTTACTAAAGTACAGTTGATATACAATTGATATACAATCTTACATTGGTTTCAAGTATACAACAGAGTGGTTGAACAAGTTATACATTATTAAATAATCTCACCCCACTAGTACAGTTACTACTGAGAACATAGGAAGATGTTACATAACCGCTGGCAATATTGTCCATACTGAAGTTCCATCCCCAAAACCAACTTATATTATGATTGAGATTTTTATGCCCCTTCATCATCCTCACCTTCCCCACTCACCCACCCCAATCCCTCCCCCATGGTAACCATGAGTCTACTGCTTAGTGTCTATGAGTGCACTATTTTTTTGTTCACTTTGTTTCGTTACTATATTCCACAAATAAGTGAAATAATATGGTATTTGTCTTTCTCCACCTGGCTTATTTCTCTTAACATAATACCCTCCAGGTCCATCCATGTTGTTGAAAATGGGAGGCTTTCTTTCTTTTTTGTGGTTCAATAATATCCTATTGTGTATATGTACTGCCTCTTCTTTATCCATTCATCTATTGATGGACACTTAAATTGCTTCTGTATCTTTGTTATTGTAAATAATGCAGCAATAAATATAGGGATGAATATATCTTTTAAAATCAGAGATTTTGTTTTCTTCAGGTAAATTTCTAAACGTGGAATTACCGGGTCCAGTGGTATTTCTATTTTAAGTTTTTTGAGGAACTTCCATATTGCTTTCCAAGCAGCTGCACCGATTTACCTTCCCACCAACAGTGAAGGAGGGTTCCTTTTCTCCACATCCTTTCCAACACTTGTTATTCCTCATCTTTTGGATAGTGACCATTCTAACTGGTGTGAGGTAATGTCATTGTAGTTTTGATTTGCATTTCCCTGATGATTAGCAATGTGGAACATCTTGTCATGTGCCTGTTTGCCATCTGTATATCTTCCTTGGAAAAATGTCTGTTCAGGTTCTCTGCCCATTTTTTAAACAGGTTATTTGTTTTGTTTTGTTTCTTTGGTGTTGAGTCAGGTGAGTTCTTTATATATTTTGTATGTTAACCTCTTATTGGAAGCATCATTTACAAATATTGTTTGATCTATCTTTTTGTTCTGTTGATGGTATCCTTTGCTATACAGAAGCTGTGTAGTTTGATGTAGTCCCACTTATTTTTCAAGAAAAAAATTGTCATGCCTATTTTCAAGAGATTTTTGCCTATGTTTTCTTCTGAGAGTTTTGTGGTTTCATGGCTTACATTCAGGTCTTTGATCATTTTGAGATTACTTTGTGTATGGATTTAGACAGTATTCCAGTTTCATTCCTTTGCATGTAGCTGTCCAGTTTCCCAAACACCAGTTATTGAAGAGGCTGTCTTTTCCCTATTGTATTCATGTCTCCTTTATCACATATTAATTTACCATTTATGTGTGGGTTTATATATGGGCTCTCTGTTCTGTTCAATTGATCTATATGTCTGTTCTTGTGCCAGCACCAAATTGTTTTGACTACTGTGGCTTTATAATAGAGCTTAAAGTCAGGGAGTGTAATCCCCACACCACCCCTTCCACCACTTCATTCTTTCTCAGGATTTCTTTGGCTATTCAGGGTCTTTGTGAATCCAATTGAATTTTAGAACTATTTGTTCTAGTTCATTGAAGAATGCTGTTGGTGTTTTGATAGGAATTGCATTGAATCTATAAACTGCTTTAGGTAGGATGGTCATTTTGGCAATATTGATTCTTCCTATCCATGAACATGGGATAGATTCCTATTGATTTATGTCTTCTTTAATTTCTCTCGTGAGTGTCTTATAGTTTTCAGAGTACAAGTCTTTCACCTCCTTGGTTGGGTCCATTGTATAATTTTTTAAATTATACTTTTTAGCATAACTTGTTACTGCTTTCTGTTCTTTATATGCAGTATTTTTACCTACTTTCTTTTGTTAAACATAGAATTCTTATATTCTATTAAGATGATTTAAAATTTCTTAAGGAGTACATACTAATACCAAAACATATAAACATGATAGCAATTCAATGTATTTTTCTTTTCTCTTATAAAAAGGTATTAAACTTTTAAAAAATTGGTTTTGTTCTTACCCTATATTAAACTTAACCACAAATTGTTATTATGGAAATAATAGTAACATTCACCTTGAGAAAAAGGCAATAATAATATAATTTGCAAATTAGTACTTTGAGAAGTTACAGGAAATCACTTTTCATACTATATTAAAAGTATATAGTATACTATATTAAAAGAGAATGTTTCATTTAATAAAAAACATTTTTCATAGGAGATTGCTTTTCTGCAGATCTACAAATGCTCCAGAAATCATTACCATTAACCATGCTCTTTTTATAGTAAAACACTGATGAGTATTATTTCCCAGAGATAGAAGAGCAAGCTGCTTTAAGCTATAAGAGGATACTACAGTTAATTTTTGCCACTAAAGTAATGTAGTTGCAGGGAGAAAAATGGGGAACTTGGAACTTGGAGTTTTTCCATAAAAAATTTAAGCCTCCCCCCAAAAAATTTAAGCCCAGTATGTCTTATGATCATAATGATTTTGAAAATAAATTCAATTCCCTTTTTTACAGAGTATGCATGTAGACAAGGCTTGTAGTGCTAGTTTTGTGACAGCTGTGTTTAGCCTGGTTTGGAGCAGTATCAAAGAATAGGTAGTAGGCTTTTTCAAAAGCCTCTCCAATCCCTGAACATGTATTTCCTTTCTGCCTTAGCACTGTTGGAGTCATTCCAATGCCTGGAAGAAGAAATAAGAGACACACTAGTGGAGGGTATCGTACCTAATACAGATAATACCAGCATAAAAATTCAGGAACTTCCAAGAATAGCCATGAAATGTCTCATACCCTGCAAAGCTTCTCCAATTTGTTTTTAAAAATTGAAACCATTCTTAATAAAGCAACACACTATACTTTTTTTCCCTAATGAAAGCCCACACACCTGAAAAATATGAAATATTTGTAGATCTTTTCTAAATGACAGTGTGCATAAGCTTAGTAAAAATATTTAAACCAAATTTTTGCCAGAATATTTTGTACTTCTAACCAAAGGACCAAATAACTCAATATCTTTTATTCTCTTTAATCATGAAATAGTTGATAGCTAATGCTCTATTAATTTACTATGAGAAATATAGAACTTGAAATCCAACAGCAACAATGCGTGATGTAAGTTTCATAGTACTCATTCTAAATGTTACAGTAGATTTAGAAGACAATTTCATATGGTATAGTTGTGGATAAAGTTATATTTTTACCTTATATCTTTAATTTTTCATGTTTTTTCCTTCAGTAACTTCAACTTAACAAGTTATTTATACACTTAATTAAGATAAATTATTCACAAAAATTAGTATTTTTTCTTGACATTTTTATAATTTCTAGAAAAGCCAGATTTCTGCTTTTTGGAAGAAGATGCCGGAATCTGTCGAGGTTATATTACTAGGTATTTTTATAACAATCAATCAAAACAGTGTGAACGTTTCAAGTACGGTGGGTGTCTCGGCAATCTAAACAACTTTGAATCACTGGAAGAATGCAAGAACACCTGTGAGGATGTGTGTAAGTTTATTTCTCATCCCATTTTACTTCATTTATAGGCATCCTCTTAAAAATAAGGCATCTTACAGGATGTTCACATTTACTCAGATTTTATTTCAGCCATACAAATATACATTTGTATTCACTAAATTCAGTACTAATCTGATTACTTATTATTTTAATTTTAAAAAAGAACAGAGAATTAAATAATTTGTAGTGAAAATTATTTCTAGAGACCTGATATCGTTTTTGTCTTTGTTTTTTAGGTTAAATTATTTAAACTTCCTTCCAGAGAAAGTTGTAGTACAATTTAGTTACAAGAGTAGGACTGCTGACATCCCCTTAGGTTTATAACAATTTGGGGGAAATAGTTCTTTGGAACCTACCACTTAAAATCAAACCTAAAATCAATCAGTTCTATCTGACCATAATATTTATTAAAGCAGTGACTTAAACATTAACAGTTAACCATTTTTTGACCAAGAATGACAAAGTTACTCATGGAAATATTATCTTACTCTATATATACATTCACTGTTAACTAATTTAAAATAGCAGTGTAAATAAAGTCTACTTGTCTTAACACAACTGGTGTTTTATGTGTATAATTTCATGATAATCTCTTGATTTTAATTAGATGTGTTTTTTCCAGTGAATGATTTCCAGGTGGGAGATAACAGAACCCAGCTTGAGGCTATGAATAATGACTCCTTGTCCCCCCAGCCCACCAAGGTTCCCAGCTTTTGGGGTAAGGTTCTTTTTTTTTCTGACTCCCCAAAAATCTACCATGGTAATAATAGAAGTGGAATGTGTATTAGAACTATGCTTTTAAAAAATGTATGCCTCTTTTTTATTTAATAATAGGTGTGTTGAAATACTGAGATTAAAAATGTTTAGGACCTTTAATCCCACAAATGTGATAATTCTAGTCAAGTTTAAAGTATGCTTTGAAGTAGGATTTTGATTACATATCACATGAAAATTTTCATATGATACTTAACTCTATGCCAAATTTATCTGATAAAATAATGCTAGGAATTATCAGCCTCAATGACTGAGGACAAGTCATTATAACAGCACCAGTGTGTCAAAGGCAGTGTGAAATGCTCTTAAATTGAGCATGGCATTGGGCAAGGTCTCTGGTATTAGTCACAGGACAGATTAGGAATTTGTTTAATAACCATCCCCAAAGCTATGGCACTCTAAAGGGAATTTTCTTTTGCACTTCTGCAAGAACTCTTACCTGGGTTCTACCCTGCCAACACATTTATCAAATTTAAATAAACATACAGGAAATATGTGGAGCTGGTAAAATAATGAAAATGCTGGAAAACATAACCAGACACAATAAAAATCTGGGCAGTTAGAAACAACCTAAGCTGAAAGGTAACAGGATAAATGTAAGGTCCTACCTACATTTTAAAAGCCACATGTGAGCATTCAGGAATTGGAGATTTTGTTTAGAAGCAGTTCATGTGAATGTGTTAAATGTAAAGTTGGCATGAGTTGAAAGAATTCTGTAGCTATTAAAATTGTAGCCTTAGGGTAAAAAGAGACATAATGTCTGGGGGCTGGGGTTCTCTACCCTGGCCATGTATCAAAATCAGATGAGATTCAGAATCAGAATGTCTTTAATCATCTCTCTTTACAACAAATCAGCGAGCAAACAAAATTTCTGCCCATATGGATTTAAAGCATTGCAAACATTGAGTATGATTTATCAGAATGAAGGATGTAAATGTGCAGGTTGGTCCCACACTGACCTGATCATGGCTGTGAGATGTGCTTCAGCCCTGAATGCCATACCTAAGTCACAAAGAGACCTAAAAACACATTAGTAGAAGGACTGGAAAGTGTAAGGAGAAGAGATCTAACAAAACACTTTATATGCTCTCAGGACTTGAAACACCATCATGTGAAAGGAGAATTAAGCTCTGGGCATGCCTCCCACTCAGTCCTCTCCATTTCAGTTCTCACCCCACCCTACCACATCCCCACCCTTCTTTATCTCCCTCAACCCAGTCTAAGAATCAGGATTAATGTATGAAATCTAAACTATAAATTTCTTTCTATAAAGTGTTTATTTTTAATGAGATGTCTTAAAAAATCAATGGCTGCCTCAGTGATTACATTTCCCGAAATGGTAGTCATTCAGTGTTTTAGATGCCTTGAGATACCGCTAAGGGCACACAAAATTTCAGAGGGAATTGGACAATAAGGTATATTCAAAATGACTTCAGGTCCTTAGATTCTACAATTAGAGCAATAAATTCAATGTTCGATACATCTGAGTCTAATTTTTAAATACTGCTTTATTTATAATAATGATAAGTATTTTTGTAGTTCTGATTTTTTAACTAAAATTAAGTAATTTCCTTGCATTGTTTGTGTCCTTCCATCCTTGTGTCTTTAATGACATTTTGTTTTATCCAGTTAAATATCACATGTTGAAAGAATGCTAACTCCTATTACCATGAAAGATTTTAAAGTTTAGAATAACAAATTTATCAATGGGTTTAAAGATAGATGTTATATATCTATAAATAAATGTATGAAATCAGTTTTCAGTATGTTTCAATATATTTTGTTTGGTTTACTTTACTAATTCAAATAGAAATCTTCAGTCATTTATCACTAAAATAAGTAGAGCAGTTATGGGATGGTTTTGCCTTGAAATTTTATGATGGAAAAAATCATTAAAATAGAATAGGGCAAAATAAAATATGTGTGAGAAGTAAATGGGAGCTATGGAATCTGGAATGGATTCCAAAAAAAAGCTATGAAATTTTAAATACTGTCTGATAAATGTCCTGCATTTTTATGTAGATGCACACTAAAAAGTATGAAAAACAAATTAATGATTATGAAAGTATTATTTACTAAGGAAGCAGTAAAAATTCACATGAATTTAAAAGGAAACAAATTAAGGGGATTTTTATTTAAAATAAAATTATCCCATTTAAGGGATAATTCTTTCATAGTAACTATATTTAAAATTAGGGCAAATGGTTTCCTTTGTTTGTCTAGAAGACTATTTTATTTTTTTTTGTATGTATTTGCCTCAAAATCTAAATTCCTCTAACCAATTTGACCCCCTTTACTTTTTCTAGGAACATTTTTTCTTTTGTTTTTTAACCTTCCTAATTTAAAACATGAAATAGTATTGCAAAAACTACAATGAGAAGTTTGATATGAAGGGTGGTTTATGTTGTCACATATAAAAAGTTACAACAGACCTCTTCCTCCACTCTCCTTAAGAACTACATGATCCCTTGTCTGCCCCATCCAAGATGTAGATAGGAATACAGCTGTTCCTCTCCACTGTCTGAGAGGTAGATGATCCCTTCTTCATCCCATCCAAGTGCTAGAGTGTAGGAAGGCAATTATGCCCCCCATCTTTCCTGTACCTATGCTATCCCTTCCCCACTCCATCAAAGGGCTTTGCTGAGCTTTGTACAAACACTGTTGATATTCCAGCTCAAAAATAGTTGCATCTGTTACTGCTTATAATTCTATTAATACATTTTATTATAATTTAAGAAAATAGTTCTTTGTTTATGTACAACTTTAGTGTTCAAGGTTTCAGCAACTGTGTACGGTTCTCTGAGAGTATTAGTTTCTTTTGAAAAAAAATATAAAGCCCTTACAGTTTTAATTCAGTGCATAGGAATAATATGCCCCATAACACAAACAGAACAGCATTAATTTAAAATTGTTTCCAAAAAATAACAATCCTTCTGTAGAGTATTTGAATACTCCAAAAATATCGTTAGATTGTATTATTATTAAGTGAAGTATTTATAAATAGAATTTTAATGTTTCTCTTCATGACTATAATGGAAAATCATTTTCAAGTTTTGTTCAATGTTAGTAGAAATAGTTTGGTAATTTAAAAAATCAGTTTTTATTCTTAACTACATATATTGCATATAAGCTTGAAAATATGTCTTTTCCAGTGAGCCCTTGTGACGTAAGATATTTGAATGCTCATCAAGCACAACTGAGATTTGATTTTCTCATCCTATTTCTGTATTTTAATATTAATAGGCTATACAGGTGATCTCAAAGATTGAGCCTTACTCTTCCTATAGAGATTTTTTAACAAAGTGTGAGCACATCCTGTACACAAGTAAGAACACATTATTTGAGCCATCTCTCTAAAGTATGTAGTTCTGTGGATAATCTTCAGATGAAAGACTATCACACTGGTTCTTCTTGACCTTATTCTCACTGTGACTGGCACTGTAACAGAGTAGATAAAAGACTCTGAACCTGAAGATTTGGGCTCAAATCCCCATTCTTCCATTTACTAGCTGCATAACCTTCAGATATTTCTTAACCTCTCTGAATCTTAGTTTCCCATGGTAAAATGAGTATGGTAATAACATAGTATTTACCCCATAGGTTTCGTTGGGAGGTAAAATCAGTCAGTATACATGGCTTCCTTAGGACAGTGCCTGACATATATTCAGTGCTATATAAACACAACTCATTATTATTGCCCACGTGACTCAGAACAATACACTTAACTTTTCAGGCCTTGGTTTCTCATTTGTAAAACAACTCTTTATAAGTTCCCATTTGTAGGAGAAAATGATACTCCAGTCACTTATAAAATCTTTACTTATTCAAATATATCATCCAGTCACAGAATTATAATTAACCTTTAAAAGAGAATTCACAGAACTAAATTAATTCATGTATAGAAACTTAAATGGTTCAAATGAGTTTACTAGAAACAAGTTGAGAATTTTGGCATGCAGAAGCTTCAGAGGGCTTCAAAGCCAGAAGACCTTTATTTGTATAACTTTTCTGTATCATTTTCAATATTTCCAGCTTTGCACACTTTCAGAGTTTTGCCATCATTTTTCCAATTACTTCAGTTTAAGCATTTGGTAATCACCTTTGATCACTTCTATTCTTTTAATCAGTCATTTAATTCTATTGCTTTTTCTGATGAAATGTTCGTTCCTGTCTTCTCCATTTTCAACCTTATCTGTTTTGTTCAGACTATCAATCCTTCATGTTAGATTATCTTTAAGCAATCATATGTCATCCCAACTGGGATTTCATTTAATGAAAATGAAAGGGGGATGCTAAAAAAATTATTTATTTAAAATATATAAGTAGTGTAAGTCTGGGGAAAGGAAATACTGGGGCAAAATACCCCTAAAAACCAAAATGAGTCAAAGGGAGAAATAAAGTTTAAAACCTGTTTATTGCTCACAAACTGCAGTCCCAGGCCATCTTTCTTCTCTGCTCAAGCAGCAACCACACCAGCACCCCCTCTCACCTCTCAGGTACTGATAAGCCCTGTGTTGCCCAGGTAATCACCCACTGATATGGAGATGACTTCTCCACCCCTGAGGAAAGAATGCAAATGCACTAAAGCCATACTTCTCTCCACCTCTGAATACTTGTTGATATGCAGATGTACCAAAGCCAGGAGAGATATTCTGGAAATACTACAATTTTACCCACATGTAGGTATAGATAGAAAATTGTGTTTGTTATTTTGGTGGATATGTAAAATAGTTTTGTTTGAAGTATCTCAATTTTTTAAATCACATATATACTCAGATTCACTGCATACATATATTCTTAATATATATGGTCTATATCAAATACAAGTAAACATTTGGTATGTCTGTGTATGTGTATATATATATATATATATATACCTATACACATGCATATATAGTATATATTTGTGTGTATGTGTGTATAGAGAGACAGACAGAAAAGACG